TTAGTATCATTAGCCTACATAAACACAGAGAGTATGGTTTAAAGCCAAGTATACGAATATTTATCTGGTACACTGAGTTCTAATTACACGTAGAAGGAAAAAACCTCAAGTGAAATAACAGTGTTGAACAGTATAGACAATTATGTCATCATCATTATGACAGATTTTTTAAAAATTAACTTATGTGGTAAGCACGAAAAATATCCCAGTTCATTCCATAAATTTGATTTACGATTTTAAAACTTATTTATAGACTTTTTTTAAAGAAAATCGAATTGAGAAGAGTAGTGGTAGATACATATGTACATTCGTCTCTAACTTCATGGGATAATTTTACTTAAATCATACGCCAAAAGATAGTAGACACTAAACAAAACCTTTTTTGTGTTTTGTCAATTGTAAATTGAATAGTTATTTATAACTAGAATTTTATTTCTAAGTATATCCAGTAGACCAGGTTTCCATTTTCTTTTAGGCAGAAAAGAAACATTGAGCACATAGTTGTTTTACTTTAATGATCATTTTTTTTCCCTACCCATTCATCTATTATACCTACCTATTGATTAATTTTATACTGTGTGGAATGAAATGTTAACAATATTTATCATCACTATATTATACTATATTTGCTATCTTCGTCTCACTATTTTGGGGATAACATCAACAACACATGACTTCACGAGAGAAAAAAGCTAACAAGAAGGCAATAGCTATTTTCCTTAATGTATGTATGTATTTTTTGTTGTTGGAAATATGTATATTGTACACATGTGTGCGTACATGCACACAATAATAGCCAGGTGCCTACAGTAATTGAGATTATCACTGAAATGAGTAGAAGAGAATTATTAGATGTGTTATAGTCGTCGAACGATAGTAGATATGTCACACATACATAGCGTATCTGTATTTATATATATCAATGTTGTAGATTATTCAACTATTTTGAGACTGGTGCTTCAGCACGTTTTTTGTCATCCTACGCAATTATCGCCTACAAATAATGTAGACATGTAATGATAACAACAACTAAATAATATTAGGCATGAGTTTTCCTATTTTTCACTAACTGATTAGGTTGACTAAAACCTCAACTATGATAGGAAAAAACTTCCTCATGATAGATGTATCGTGAAAAACACACACAAATTTTTGTATGCATGTATGTATGTTTTTGTTTAAACGAAGTTATGTTTACAGTTAAACAAATCAAGAAAGCACATTTTCATAATAATCACCATTTCTCAACGTAAGTTCAACATTATAGTGTATTTTTGTATATATTTGTGAGTGTGTGTACACTTATCATTTGTCAATGACCTCAAATTTTGAGCAACATTATGTATATATATATCCCATCAATATGTGTAGGCTGAGTAGATGATGTTGTATAAACAGCTTTATCGATTATTCTTCTCATTGACTCTGGGATTTTTTTGGACTAACAACAAATTTTCCCGTAGATTGAAATGAGAACGGAAACTATTATTGAATTTGTATAGCAGTATAGAAAATTCAGAAGACTGGAATTAAGAGTATCGATGTCCAATGAGAAATGAATTGAGCAAATACTTATATTTGCCCCCTTTGTATACTACTTTTGAGCATTTACTATGATGAAATCAGACAATATCGATTGATCATGTGAGAAGGAAATAAAACCACGATTTCAACTAACAGAAAAGTCTAATGTTTTAGTACTAGGTATTAAATGTGCATGTCAAGTTTTATTTATGTGTGCTCTTGTATTTATGTGCAAATGAGTGCTTTAACTTCTGTACAAGTGTTACAGATGTGTACCAAGATTAGAGTGAACTCAAAAGAAAAACATTTTCTAACACACAAAGTGACTTAGCTAGGAAAAAGGTATAAACAAGGAGTTAATGTAGGTTCCAAAACAATTTCCTACACATAAAACAGGATTATAAAATAGTAAAGAGTTTTATGAAGGTACAGGAGTTAATTATAGTCAATAGCTGGCGAAAACCTACACAGATAATAAATAAATGATGTATATGAAACATCAAGATTTGTTCAGCTACCAATCAAAGAACAAAACAAAAACTAACACAAGTAATTTGTTAATAAAGAAGAGATAATTTAAAGATGAAAGTAATTTTAAAAAAGGAATCTATTTACTGAGGTAAACCTCATCTTGATTTATTTTCTTAACAAGTACAAGTCGTCCGGACCCTAATTGGTTAATATGTACTTACCAATACTGGTTAGATCGACAACCGACTTCGCGGATTGATGCTACGTCTCAATTTGACTGCTTCCAGCCTTATTTCAACCTAATCCTGTCCCAGACAAGGCTGATGGTTTATTCATGAAGAACGTGCCTCTTCCTTACTTCAGTCACGAAGGAACTCTCAAGATAAATGTTAACCGAAAATGTTCAGTGTATGTCTCAACGATCGCGATTGAAATATTTTCACAACTTTGTCAATTCATCAAAATATATTAGCAAAGATTTGTAATCGACCAGCTTTGGAACCACTTAAATGTTACGTAGATCAGCTATGTTTTAAGGTTACCGACGACCAACTGGTCATCAAGGTTACGCTGCAAGTTCTAGATATAATGATGAAGTGTTTATCACCCTTTCACTAAGATCGTCATAGGTTTATAAATATGAACAAGAAACGGTTAATAAACGAGATTATGTTTGTATATTTATCAAGTGTATTCATTCCTATAACAATAACGACAAAAACACTATCTTACCACAAACCTCCATTTCTAATATGCTATACAATTGTACAGTAAAAATGAAGATAAAAGTAAATATTTAAACATAAATACATGTGTCGTTTTCCCTTCAGGTGTTCGATCCCAACTACGTTTCTCCTAAAGTGGTTCGGATAACTCAGAAGTATTTCTTATTTTCATATTATAAATGTAGCTCATTGTCAAGTACAAGTACATGAACGTACTTACTGAAGATAAATTACTAAGAAAAAATATACCCAAAAGATCATTTCTGGTGATGTGAGTCAATTCAGCTAATTTATTATTGATTCAAATAATGAACTAATAGCAAAAGTAAACTGAGGCTCATACGATAGTAAAAATAAAGATAAAATAAGCAATTTTAATTATTCTCCTCTCCTCATCTTCGCTTCTATCAAGTGTACACTGAATATAATTAATGCAATATAAAAATATAGCACAATAAGCCTGATCTATTGATTCTATTCCATTAGAACCAAATACAATGTTTAAATACATGTTCAACCAATAGAAATAAATCATCGGACAATTGTTAACGATTCTCAAACACTTCGCCCTCACGAAAAAATTAAAACCTTTTATAATACGACTAAGTAATATCGACCTAAATTCACCATAATTAACAACGGCACATTGTAATGTGCTTGGGTATAGTATAGAACTCATAGGATTTACACAGGACGAGTGAAAACATGTAAATTTATTTATGTGTAAATTTTTAGGTTATTTATTTTTTTAGAAGAGTTGAGTTTATTAACTATGCCCACCATATTGATCAAAGCTTAGTTGAAACCCACACAAAGTAGAGGAATGAATGAGTCAGAATAGTGACAATATTGATTTTTTTACAAGTCCCCAGATAAAATAAGTGGAAAATCTGTCACGTTGTGTGCGTGAAGTAAATGTGACCAGTCACAAAACTAAATTGGTCGAGAGAGGTGAGAATTAGATTTTGGTTAAAAAAAGTAGGATCCTCCACCACCCTCTCTTCATATATAAACGATAAAACATCAAAAATCAAGTTAGATGAGATCAACTGTGCAGTCAATTTATCAAATAGTATTGATTTTTAAATCATATTATTCCGTACAACCTAACACAAGGTGTTCAACTTGATAAAGGGAGGAGCTAAGACAAAGCAAGATGAGTAGTATTAATTATTTATAGTTAACCAATACCAAAGTTTGAGTCTGAAATAAGTCATATCATTATGATTTCGATACTGAGTTAATAATAATAATAATAATACACTGACTCTTGAAATCCTGAAATCAAAGTTACGAAATAAGACAAGAAGTCTATATAACAGTAGTTCTCATACCTAGTTGAGATAAGGATTTATATAAATATACAAGGTCTATGTCATTAAATCTGTAGAAAAAAATGCTGTGCATAATTACAAACACCTCTATTGAGTGTTTTTACAATACACACAAGTAATGATTGTAAAATTAGGAAAAATAAATTATTTCTTGTGATATCATATAGCAACAAACGGGTATAAAGTAACACATAAATAATTCCAGAATAATTGTAAAATCTAAAAATAATAACGAGTAACATGTAAAGATCTCATCCTAACGAATTAGCTTTATAAATTTAGTTAACAAAATGATCTGAATGAACTAATTGCTCTGTTTTTCGAAAGCGACCAGACCATATGGATGTTGTCATAAGATAATGAAAGCGTTTCATTAATTAGTTTTGTCATGGAATCTAAATAATGTACGGATTTATTCACTTTCATAGTGAAGTGAAGTTAATAAGTTATGGTTAAAGAATAATAGACAGAATTAAAAAAACTCAAATTTACTGAGAATGAATCCTAAGAAAGAACACTTTTAAATTATACGAAGAAACAATATATCTGTATATTTCCTGAAATGTCAAAATCCAAAGTATATTCAGCGTACAATATGGTGTAAAAGATAGATAACCAAATTAGTAACATAATACCAATAAAATCAAAAAGTTTTTATCTGGTTAAGTTTGATGACAAGTTATGCTTGTCCCTGATCACTTGCAGTAACCCAGATTACATTATATTAAAAGTGAAACACAAAGCGCTTTTATATTTATTACAGAAATTTGAAACCTTAATTTACATTTAAACAGACATTTGTGGTCATGAAAATCACCCTGTTCGTTTATAAATGTCATAGAAAAAAGCGTACTACTTATGCTTACTAAGTAGCTAACTTTATAATATAAAATAAATACATGATGGATTCTAGTAAATAAATAATTCATGCAATTAATGAACTTACATGTTAGACCGGTATATGAAAACATGCCAACTTGATTAATGATATGTTCCCAATTCCCAGGTGTTCCCAAACTTCTCAAGCGCTCATAAAGTCCCTGCCTCATTTCACGAATACGTTGGGCCATTGTAATCACACAGGTTTTCCTACATAGGAAAAACAATATGAAATAAGAGAAGGCGACACAATCACTATCCAGTTAGAAAGATCAGATTGTTCTATCAATACTTTGTGATGAATATAAATGAATTTCTTTACTCTTCAAAAGTCCCCTGGTGTATTTTTAGCTAAATAGGAAGAGAATCGGTCATGGACTGAAATATGAGAGGACAATAAAAGTTTAAATATTGCAATTTATTTTTAACAAGATTATGAAAATGAAGACAGTTAGCTGAAAAAACTGCATAAAAGTGACTACGGTCGAGTCAACAGAGGTTGTGTACTGTTACGATTTGATAAGATTTATTGTTTGAATTCTTAAAGAAATACCCTCATTACATACGTCAGTGACTAACTGAAAATTAATGGATCAGCGTAAAATATCAGCTAAGTGTACAACGGGTTGGCGTTTGCAGAAAAAGTTACTGTGTTCGAGTTCCGGAGTTGACGTCACCTCGGACGCTGACGAGCCCCAAATAGGACGAAACATGAATCTTGGATCCCACTGTTAGCCACTATCCAGCTCTGTTTAAAATGCTTATGAAATAATTGCAATGTCCAGACAATCCACAGTATGAATATATGCCAAGAAGAGACTGATCAATCGCAGTCATAAACATCAATGGGAAGATCCAAATAGCCAATACAAAATGAGTGTATGTGGGTTTGTTCTAAAATAAGATGGTGCTTCCAAATCACGGTGTATTGATAACAATTATTTAGGTCAAATTTCAGGTTTTTAATACTTTTGTCAACATGCCCATAGGTATGGACAACTAAATTTACTTTTCTTTTCTGGAAGAATGTTTAGTGATAATCATAGTATGAATTTCACATGATGTACATATAACATCGCCCTGCTGCATACAAGTGCTTTTCGGAGCCTGATTCTCACTGTATGTCTTGTAGTTCAAGCAAAACATTTTTGGCTTAGCAAGTTGTAGTTCACCTCTCAATGTAGAAGAAAAAATAAGCCGTATGTTGTGTTGGGGCAAATATCTAAGGATAACTCCTCAGACTAGTTTAAGGCTTATTATTGTGTAATTACTAAATAAGCGGACTACTATGTTTCCATATTCCGTTTATCGTAAGCTTCCCTTTCACCCACTGACTATTACTATACTTGCTATCCTTAAATTATTGTTAATCAATCATTTAAAATTCCTCCCAGTCCATGCATCATTATGATTTTCTACTTTATAGTGTGATTTAGTTCTGTTTATCAGGTATATTAGGTAATCAGTACTTGATGTAGTTTCTGGGTTGGTTAGTTGGTTAGATTATGTTAATAGAGGCTTGGTCAATATTGTTGATTCAGGCACAAGGTTGAGGATAGAAGGCATGTACATCAGACGACAGAAAGGAATGAGAATTATATTAGCTCAAGGTTAAATGTGCTGTCGAAACTTATGGTTGGTTAAGGCTAAGGGAGCTAGGCTATTAGCAGAATGGCAGACACGGTGTAGATAAATTATAATCGATTTTTTTTTGACGAACTTGGCAAATAGTATTGATCAAACCGTTTAGACATAACACGATGGTAGTACTGGAAATTCTGGTACAAACAGATTGTCTAACTATCGTCAGTGCACCTGATTTAAACACAATGGGAAATCGAGAAATCACGTAAAGAATGCCCTTCTACCAGGATCGTAGATCAAACTTGAACAAAGTTGATTCCCATTTATTCCAGTTCAAGATAGAAATATAATAGTGATTGACTCCAAGTAATATAAAACATTGAATGGCCAATTTATTTAATATTAACAAACCTGATCTTGATAATTAAAAATTATGAAAACTATTTTTCATAACAAAGTCTAAAAACGATGCAAAAATTACACTTGATATTGTTTTGTTTGTATCTTCCCATTGAGGTTTAGGAGTGAGATTGATCAGTCTGTTATTGGCATATGCGCATACTGTGCGTATGCCTCAATATTACCCTAATTCACAAGCTTTCATAAGCAGAGATGGATAATGGTTAGCAGTGGAATCCAGGACGCGCGTTTCGTCTTATTTGGGACCAAGTGAATTCAAAGTCACCCCACTGCACAAACAAGCGGTTATCAGGACTCAGTAGCCAAGTGGATAACGCAATGGCGTTTGAAGCGAATGGTACTGGGTTTGAGTCCCAGAATGAACATCAACTCTGAGATGCAGATACGTCCAACTGACAAGTCCCAAATAAGACGAAACCCGCATCCTGGACTCCACTGCTAGTCACTATCCATCCAGTGCTTCCAGGTTTTCGACGGTGGTCTAACATCAATCGGTTCATGATCTCAATCAAAAACTTAACAATCTCCACAACCCCTAAACTGATATAGATTTGTTTAATCTTATAATAAACTTTTCAAAATAGTACATATAATTTTAATAGCACTGTATGACTGTTTCGAAACGGCCATGTTTTCCATGATGATGATCTAGTTTAAAATTGACTCATGATATCAACTATTATAATATCCACAAAACTCATTTTGATAATACATATAAATGAGGAAATGTATTAAAAACATAACAAATGAGAAAATTTACGTGATCAAATAAAAACAAAACAATGACAATTTGTACTTGTATAACTGATTAATATAAAGAATAAACATTGTAGGAAGAACTTAGACTATAGACATTAAATATAAACGAGAATAGAAGTGATTATACAAAAAACAAAGTTCATTTATAATAAGGTCAAAATAGATTGTTATTATTTCTTTATTTTCTATGTTGTGTAAATTTTTCTCATCAAGTAAATGTACCATTAGACAAATTAATGTTTTGTCCTAATACATTAGGTTTTTATTTTATTTTATTTTTATAATTGAGATTAATTTATTCAAGGTGATTAGAAATTTAATCAAATAACAAATCTTATCTTTTCACAGACAGGATTAATCAGTGTAACTTGTATGGATTATCTAGTTTGTATCATGAAAGTAAAAATAGTATACTAGACCAATTTCTCAGTCAGGAAGCTTACTATTCTTCATCTATAATGATTATTTTAATCAAAGCCCCCAAATGCCCTAGTGCGGCTGAGAGTGGGGAGAGTCCGCTCTCCCTCTTGAAATGCTCTCACATGGCCACGTGCATACAACCACTGCTAGGGAAGTCCTACTCACTGCCTTCTCGACGCGAGGGTGTAGTTTACGGAATTGAGAGGACGAAAAGCGAATGTCTGGCGCTTTAACCGAGTTGGAAAACCCTGATTCCGAAACAATGATGCACATGAGCTGGCTCCAGGATCCTGAAGGAAAAAATGGCGTATGAACCAATTTTTAGTCACCGGTTGTCATGGAGCTGCATCTGCTGACGTTGCTCCACTACCTTGTGGATCAGACCTTCAGGTCAAAGGCTCCGAGTGTGGCTCCCTAATAACACCACGTACTTTGGTTTGGGCACCCGGACAGTATCAAAATTATATGTTGAAAAGGAATAAGTGATACATCATTAAAATAAATATTCCGTAATTGATAGTTAAAAACTATAGTAGATTTTATATGAAATATGCATGTACATCACTCATCTGATAACGAAGCATTCACGCTATTTTTCTAACACTCCTATTGTTTGGTCGATAATTTAATATATTGTGCAGATTGTTTCACTAAGGCATTATAGCTTACATTACGAACCAACTTTAGCTAGACAACCATTGAAAACTGGAAAGGAACACTGGATAGGAAAAATACACAACCGCGAGAGGGGTAGAACTCAAAAACTTCAGAGTTAATGGAGAGGGTTTCACAGTTAGATTACTAAGATGACATGGAATAGTTTATATTTCCAGCTTTGGTCAATTCATGACTGCTGTCACACGCTTGAATCTAAAACCCCTTACACTAACATTAAAAACAGTTACTAGGTGCATACCTTCAGTAAAGAGTAGAAAAGCATGAAATGACACGAGACTCCAGTACCACTTATATTTCCAGATTTCATTTTTTTTATTTTAATAGATTTCTGTTACCCCTTTTATCATTAGGTCACATGTAGTCTTATCCTTATTTGTATCAGAAGGGGTTTTGTGGAGATTATAGTAATTTCAATAGTTGAGATCATGAAACAATTGAAGCTAGACCACCATGGAAAACCTGAAAGCACTGGACGGTCGTTTCGTTTCATTGCGGGACTCCTCAATAGTGCGCATTCACGACCCCGCCCCGCGGGATTCGAACCCAGGACCTATCAGTCTTGCGCGCAAGCGCTTAACCACTAGACCGCTGAACCGGTACTCAAATATATTCCAAAAACACTCACATTACTTATTGTATTATTGTTGTTAATGGTATTAGTATTTAACAATAATATGCGTTCCCTTTTAAAAAGCACTTTATCGTTGGGGATGACTTTCACTCACTAACCAATAAAATTCCATGAAAATCTCTCCAGTTGTCTTTGACCTTTAGTCCCCCATATGACCTTGAATTCGAGTCAGTCATATGACTTATTATTGATCTATTTTATCTCAATCATTATTAACTCTACTCCACGATTCCTTTTCACGATATATACACACAAGAAAGTTTTCTTCGATGAGATATTTGTTTGTTATTGTAAAATTAAGAGAGAAATAATTCATTTACAAGTTTACATTACAAACCAATATTTGGTTATTTTGAAGTAATTGTTTAAAATCAACTTGGCTGAAAATTACTTATCGACCAGATCAATGACACATAAACACGTACGAGCAGTCTAGAGTCCTTATCAGTCCTTTTTCCTGCCTAGCCCTATCTGTTAAGTCCGGAACACAAATTTTGGCCTCCTCAACATGAATCATATATTTTAAACATACTGGGTTTATGTACGAGCAAACCAGACCACATCACACCATAAAATAGAAAATAACATTTGTGCAAGATCTAGCCAAAAGTGGCTGTGATTGTGGGAGACTGTAATTAATAAACTGAGCATAACTTAAGAATGGTAAATCATGTAATAATATCAGAATGGGTTTGTGGAGATTTTTAGAAATTTTCACAGATTGAAATCATGAGTCAGTTGAAGCTAGACCACCATTGAAAACCTGGAAGCACTGGACGGTCGTTTCGTACTAGTGTGGGACTCCTCAGCACTGCGCATCCACGATCCCGCACCACGCGGGGCTCGAACCCAGGACCTACTGGCTTCGCGCGCGAGCACCTAACCATTAGACCACTGAGCCGGCATCCAACGGTGTTAATGTCTAACTTCAACCAATCCACGAAGTTGCGCCACCTTATACCATTGTCTTCAGTGAGCTGATATCTCAACTGACTCATGATTTCAATCCGTGAAAATTTCTAAAAATCTCCACAAACCCCTTCTGATAATAATCATCTGCTCACTAGTGACTGACTTCAAGAGATACTCCTGGAGTTCTAGTGGGAAGCCGTTACCAGTGGGGTACAACCAGGTCTGTTGTGAGATGTCAGCTCACTGAAGACAATGGTATATGGTGGCGCAACTTCGTGGATTGGTTGAAGTTAGACATTAACACCGTTGGATGCCGGCTCAGTGGTCTAATGGTTAAGTGCTCGCGCGCGAAGCCAGTAGGTCCTGGGTTCGAGCCCCACGTGGTGCGGGATCGTGGATGCGCACTGCTGAGGAGTCCCACACTGGGACGAAACGACCGTCCAGTGCTTCCAGGTTTTCAATGGTGGTCTAGCTTCAACTGACTCATGATTTCAACATGTAATAATAGTCCATAGGTTAAAATAAAGCGCATAATAGGAGGAATACGAATATAAATAGTTTAGTTACTTAAAAATTATACAATACAAATATATGTATAATACTGGATCATATATAGATCCCAACAGTTACCATTCACTATTCTCGTCGGGATATGACAATCTTTAAGAAAGTAAGTGGTAGAAAAAACCATATTGTCAGAATTAAGGAGATAAGAGAGATTAACCCAGCAAATATTAGCCAATCAGAATGTTGCTTTTAAAATGAGGTATATATTACCAAAAAACGTTTGAAAAAAATGTGGTTTCTGAATGCTACCACTCTAGCTTCTAAAAAAACAAACTACCTTTTGACTCTGTGACATTTCAGAGTGTCATTTCCTGTTCACAGCTACATAAGGTGCATTTCCTCAATAGTCAAACATTATGTAGGTGACCTACGATAATATCGTCAAAAATTTGGCACCTTATAGCAGATTATCCACAATTCGGTTTTAAAAATCATACAGAAATTCAATAATTTGAATCTTCATTCTGATTGGTCGATTCCACTTAATTCAATGCCGTCAGTATAGTTCAGCTCTAACGAACAGATTAATTGCTGATCACAATTGATTGATCACTGGGTGGTGATCAATGTCATGCTTGTCTAGTCCTTATTAGTGCAGATCGAATGCTATCGATCATGTTGCAATGTGGCCACCAGTCTAGGTGACTCGACACTGCGGGCACTATGCATTGAGATTTAGATGGTGATTAGAGGTAGTCAACAGGAAACCCTGGACCCGGGTTTCGTGCTCCTTGGCACTCGTCAGCAAGGTGTACCTGTAATCTTGAGGGAACTGGTGCTCCCTGGCGGATTCGATCTCGTGTCACCCAGCTTCACAGTCAGAGACGTTACCACTGAGCTATCCGAGCCGTGACTACCCTCCTGTAGGACTGAGATGTAATCACAATTGATTGATCACTGGTTGGTGATCAATGTCATGCTTGTCTAGTCCTCATTAGTGCAGATCGAAGCTGGGTGACACGAAATCGAATCCGCCAGGGAGCACCAGTTCCCTCAAGATTACAGGTACACCTTGCTGACGAGTGCCAAGGAGCACGAAACCCGGGTCCAGGGTTTCCTGTTGACTACCTCCAACCACCATCTAAATCTCAATACATAGTGCCCGCAGTGTCGAGTCACCTAGACTGGTGGCCACATTGCAACATGATCGATAGCATTCGATCTGCACTAATAAGGACTAGACAAGCATGACATTGATCACCACCCAGTGATCAATCAATTGTGATTACATCTCAGTCCTACAGGAGGGTAGTCACGGCTCGGATAGCTCAGTGGTAACGTCTCTGACTGTGAAGCTGGGTGACACGAATCGAATCCGCCAGGGAGCACCAGTTCCCTCAAGATTACAGGTACACCTTGCTGACGAGTGCCAAGGAGCACGAAACCCGGGTTCAGGGTTTCCTGTTGACTACCTCCAACCACCATCTAAAGGTTAATTGCTGGTTAGGAGAAACGACTTTAAAATAATGTGAGCAAGTGGATTAGGTTAAACTTGTTCAGAGAGGATCTAACGGCACGAATGAGCCAACCCATAACTTAAGTATCCCTCAAAATGTGTTGATTTCCTGAATATATTTATTTTCAACTTATTATCATTTATTATGTCTTCATTCAAACTAAGCTATCGAGAAACGCTAGTTTGTGGTCATTGCACTTTATTTCCTTTGTTAGCTTGGTGCTCTCCAAAGGGCTGTTTACATTCTCAAACACTTCTTCCAAACCGTTCCGTTTGATAATGTTAAAAATGTCATCTAAATACCATAACCAGACTTTCGTTGGATTTACACATCTTTTGATCGCACCGGTTTATACGGAAATTCGCAACAACTGGAGAAACTGGTGAACCTATTGCTACACCTTCTTTCTGTCTGTAAAGATCTCAGAATGTGAATAACGTGGATAGTAAGCACAATCCCAAACACTTGACAACTTCAGATAGATCTAACGGGCATTGTAAATTCAAATGAGTCAGACTTTAAACAATCATGAATACTATCCAATGCTCTATTGATAAGTACATTAGTAAATAAGGAAGATACATCAGAACTTGACATCATTTCATCCTCTATATGGATGGTATCGGTATTATTCTTGAATTCAATAGTTTTTAATTCCATGACTAATCAATTTGTCATATGGTTTAAGTATCCTAACTAAGTATTTCGCTAGATTGTATGTCGTTGAATTTGTAAAATCAGCCAATGGTCTTAATGAAAACAGGACACAAGATCAATTTCGAAGCGACCAAAATACTTTAGAAAGATTTTAGCACGCATATTTGTTAACAAGTAATTGAGCCCATTCTCTACCCAGCTATTAATAACTCAACCTTATATATACACCCACACAATCATTCATTCATTTGAATACACATTGTGAACTTCTCATATGATTCACATGTAATTGACTCATGTTATCCTACTTACTAAAGTCAACATCTGAATATGATTGGATAAGCAAAGTAAGGGTTTGATTTGATTGTTAAACATTGTATATTTCTTTGATTATTACTCTGAAGATGTCCAAACAAGTTAGCTGAACGAAACGTTGGAATTATTCAAATTTCAATCACTGAGATTATTTCAAATATAATTTTCATATAGAATTACTTCTTTGTACTCAGCACCCTATTTTTGTCAAACTATTCATTCTAATACTGACGCATATTCGCATAAAGGAGTTCAATTTATTTTTGTCCATAAAAAACTGATGATAAATCCGAAAAGACCTAGATCTACCTTCCAATGTTCAATAGTATTATTATCATTATTATTGTTATTAGAGAACTAATTGTCATTAGTATTTATTAATGTGAACACATAAATATTGGTACAAAGGGGCACCAAATACATATGGTTTACACTATGGAATAAAGTTCATTAGACAACAAGGAAGAACTCGACATCTGTTTCGTTCTAGTATGGGGCTGCTCATTAGCAGTGTGCATACATGATTCCGATAAGAATCGAACACAGAATATTCGGGTTTCGTGGCGACTGCTTAACTTCTAGATCACAGCATCTAGTGATTTATATTGCCGACTCCAATAAATGAGTGATACTGCGAAACCATCATCCGACAACCAATACCCGACATGGTTGAACTCCAAAGGTTACTGGATCTCCCTCTTGAAATTAATTGCTGGTAAGCCCTCGGATATTAATTTAACTGTTTAAAGAGTAAGCACACACCGCAAGACTTGAAGGTCTTGAGTTCGATGATGAAGAATCGCACAGTACGACGAAAAACCTCCCCAGTGCTTCCTGATTTTCAATGGTCATTAAATTTAAGTCAGTCCGAGATGTTAACCATAAAATTAACTATTATTTATGAAAATGAAGAAATGTTTACATACACTTACCATTCATTGAATAACGAAATATTATTTAATATGGTAGCAACAATTCGTGCACCATGTTGTGGTGGATTGGACCATGTTTGACGAATTAATAATTTCACTTGTGATTTCACATGTGATGTAGTTACTGGATCTTGTGTGATAAATATTAGATTGCCTACACGTTCATCTGTAATAAATATTTTTTTATGGTTAAAATACAAAATGGATATTAGTAATTGCTTAAGAATATATAGTTTTTTATCCATTCAAATCTAACACATTTGGTACTTTTGTATAAATGAATGGCAAGAAAAAAAAAGCTCATTTTCCGTGTATGTGCACGTGTGTGTTAAATGCACAGCCTACACTGGTAAGCCATTTCAATATTGATACAGGCGTGAAAAATTTACTTAAAGTAGACTTAATCAAGAACGCAAAGAAAACATTCAAAACGATAAGTACGAAAAATCCTGGGTCATTACTTTCAGTACTTATTTTCCATTACAAATTAATTTATTTAAAAGTTAAAAAAAGGAAAATAAACAACCATCAGTCGACATATAAAACTAAAAAACAAACAGGAAAGTAAGCAGTGGTATTAGGGGTATGAATCACTTGAAATTAGCAGCTATTTTTACTAAAACTAACCAGTGTTAAATAAAATAAATGAAAGTATACGAAGCTTTTTCTAGGTAAGAGAATAATTTAATTATGGAGATGGGTAGTGATGAATGAGCAAATAATATTAATGATAATAATAACATGTAATTTATATAAAGTGGTAATTCAGTATTCATCCACCTAAGTGATTTTCAATTATTTTGCATTGGTCCGTACATCACTTTTTAAACTCAACATTGTTAAGTTTTATGGAGAACTAATGAAAATTAGATTGATGAAGCCTTTTAATGGATAAATTCATTCTTAACCAATCAGTATTATTTATACATCCATACAATGTTTGATCCCGAGAAGTGACACAAGTAATCTATTAATTAGAATGGTAATATAACAAAGCCCTCAATCAACTTTAATTGACAGTTTTCAAACCATGAAGGACGATGTCGTTTTCTAAATGTCTAAATCGGAATTTTTACTTCAGTAGAATATCTATAGTTCAGCAACCTCACGTATATCCTGGTGTATTGAAGACTATGAGGACTTACAATGATACCCGATATCCAAGTGAAAACAATCGGTTAAACATTAGGTGATAAAATAATGAATTTACAGGACACTCTAAGATAAATAATAGTTGTCATCATCAAGTTAGATACATAATAAAGATAAGATTGTATATTCTATAATTATTAAGTGGATATTAGTGAACTTGTAGATAAGTCTCCTAATAAACGAGACAATTTTGATCTACATATAGAGAAAATAATATAATTAAGAGAATTGAACAATATTTTATCAGCAAAAACGGTGAATACATGTATGTTTTGTGACTTTTGTATACCATAAAAAATATTTAATAAAATTATATTTCATGAATCATGAATTAATTGAAGCTAGACTGCCATGGGGAAACCTAGAAGCACTGGACGATCGTTTCGTCCTATTGTGGGACTACTCAGCAGTGCGACTTCACATCTATTCTTTATATCTGTTTCGTGAATCATTAGACGAAAAATTCATATCAAAACATGGGTGATTTCACGAAAGTGGATGATTACGACATAAACTGAACTAGTGGATATGGATGGTATAGGTATTCAAAAAAGTTTGATTTCAAACCGATGGTGGAAATGGACTTTATGATTCCAAAGGAGAAAAAGGTATATGAATTTAATTTATTTGTTGATGTGTCTATTAAAACACTTCTCCACTTTCATATTGGTTAGTCCCTAGGAAATTTTACCTAGAGAAAATCAGTTACTACTATTCGGACACGAGGACACTGTCTCATAACTCTTACACAAACCAAGTCAATAAATAAGTAGCCAGACGAAAAACTCACAAGATGTATACCAAAAGTTTTAAAAAATACATTTATTAAAAGGATGGACATTAGCATTTGTTAAAAATCAATCAAATAAAACGATTCAGACTAATAGTTAGTCAGTCATAATCAACGTAAATACTGGGGAAAATGTTTTGGCCCAAGTTGCCCTACCTTATCAGCACAATATTAAATGGGTTTAGAAACATGGAATACTTGTAGTGGGAACTCGAAGATAAACAGTTCGGCAAAGGAAGCTTCATGAAGCCTTAATTCAAGAATAAACTAAAATTACAAATGTTAAAGTTAATAACCATATTCCTTGAATTTCAAAACCGTTAGTAATACTTTTATCTCTACTCTTGCCAACGATGAATTAGTTGTTTACTAATCTCTCACGCAGTTTTCTCCCGTATTTATTTATTTAAACACAAAATATTGGTACGAAGAAGCACCGAATACATATGCGCTACACAGATCTCATTTGATATGTGTGAGGGCTGTGATACTGTCCGGGTGCCCAAACCAAAGCACGTGGTGTTATTAGGGAGCCACACTCGGAGCCTTTGACCTGAAGGTCTGATCCACAAGGTAGTGGAGCGACGTAAGAGATGCAGCCCCATGACAGTGGGTGACCAACGATTAGTTCATACGCCATTTTTTCCTTCAGAATCCTGGAACCAGCCCATGTGCATCATTGGTTCGGAATCAGGGTTTTCCAACTCCCCTAAGTGAACTCTCCATGTCCACCAACCCGGTTAAAGCGCCAGACATTCGCTTTTCGTCCTCTCAATTCCGTAAACTACACCCTCGCGTCGAGAAGGCAGTGAGTAGGACTTCCCTAGCAGTGGTTGTATGCACGTGGCCATGTGAGAGCATTTCAAGAGGGAGAGCGGACTCTCCCTACTCTCGGCCGTACCAGGGAAGTTGGAGGCTTTTCTTCCTTACTATTGCATAAATTAAATATTCCCTAAAAACAAAGAAATATTTAGTCAAACAATTTTTTTCGACAAATTTATCACGTTACTAGAAACCTACAAATGTTTCAATAGAATCAGCTAACTTTAAGGAAGTATAAAAAAATTTAAGGCATGGAAAATATAATGATGACCAAAAACTAAATGGTCATATATAGGTTACGGATAATGTTAAATGAATTTTCTTTATTCTACAATAAAGAAAAGCTACGGTAGTGATTCAAAATCAATAGAATGAAGAGAAAAATTCAAAATTAATTTTTATATCAGATTAATTATGATAATAATTCTATTATATGGGAAACAAATTTAATACGGATTGAGAATTTTCCATAAGGAGAAATTAGGTTGAAGCAATAAATGAGAAAAAAAGGTCAAGTGTTACGGTTTATATTATATGGATTAACCAATATAATTATGAGTAAAATAGTTTTAGTGAAGGCAACGGCAAACCAAAATGGTTTGAATTACGTCATGAAATAAAAAAAGAAGTATCTTTATGAAACGATAAATCCTTAAAAAAATACAATTTATGTTACAAGTACAACAACATTAGTTAAGCCGATATATTAATCAAACATATCGATTGTAATCTACTTTGGACTTGTTATGATAGTACTGGTATGGTTGATAAACGAATGTACAGTTGAGCTGTATTGAACACCTTTTTAATTTATCTTTTCCATATATGGTGATGGAACATCATTAGTATTTTTAATCATGATATCCTTTTTATAATTTATCTGGGTTGGAATGTATATTCTTTATGAAATTACTGATATACTTGTTTTTTTTTAAGTCTTGATATTCAAAATTTCCACTTTTACAATACACAATACAAATGGGTGTATAACATTTATAACTGAAACATTCAACAATAGTTCCAAACTAGAGAAATAATTAGCCTTTTAAAGATCAAAATATCAAGTGAATTTTTAATACATAGGTAAATAGTATTGTCATTAACTCAAATGTTTTTGTATGTTCAACAAACATAGTCAATAAACACAAATGGTAAAGTAGACAAAAACAAGCAGATAGCTAATTAACCTAAACACATCTAGACGTAAAGAACACTACAACAAATTTCGCAGTTATACACTAATTCTCAAAATTAATATGATATAATATGCGTAAAATTAATTTGAATTAATTCATGAAGGTTGCTTATTAATTTGTCACTAGACACTAGGTGAGATGAGCACATTATGCATTTTTGTCGTTACTGAAATTATATTTATTGTGAACAAGTTGTAACAGAAAATTATAAAGTTCAAAAATTTGTATTATCAAAAGTGTTGCAAAATAATTTAAACATTAGATTAGGATAATTTATAGACAATGGATATGCGAGTTGGTTATTCTTTTGATGAGCATGAAGGAGGAAACTTGGTGAATGATAAGAGCAATTGGTCATTAAGTATGAAAAAAGAAAGGAGGTTAGGACAATCACAGAATTAGGGATTGTACATGCCGTTTAAATCGATAAATTGCTAAGACCTCTGCAAAAGTTTCTAGTTCGTAAATGAATTTGAAAGACAATTCTATTGAGACATGATCATAATTAGGCTTCTGATAGCGAAGCAAGAGAACGCTCGAAGATGTGATTATAAAAATTCTCGTATGTGGTCGACATAGTCTGAGAGTGAATTTATACAGACACACTGATGTGGACCAAAATGGGAGTTTGTTGTTAGCACAGCCGTGGATCAGAAGTCGAGAGCAGAAGCCAACCTAAAGTTCAAAGTTGTGGAAAATTATATTACTGATGTCTTGTCATAGTTACTATACGATCCAGGGGACAAAGCCATAGCAGATGATTTTATCTTCAGCATATCAGGAACACTATTCTCTGTTTATGAACAGCTTACTTTAGGGCTCCAGAGGATTTTTATGATTGTCGTGTCTGTTATCCTAGGAGGGATAGCTATTTTCGACAGTTGTTTTCGAGAGTTTTTTCGTGTTATTGTATTTTCCAGTAGGTCATAATGTATGTTACATAAAGAAAGGATTAGAAAATGATGACTTGAGAAAGCAAAAATTGATATAAGATGGTTTAAAGTAGTCGACAGGAAACCTTGGGTTTATGTTTCGTGTTAGTCAATAATCACTAACGAGAAATACCTAAAATATTGAGGGAACTGATGTTCACTATGAGGTTTGAACCCAAATCATCCAGTTTCACAGTCTGAGATGTTACCATTGAGCTGATCGTGACGTGATCGACATTCTACAGGATTGAGATGTTTACATCGTTTTCTTACT